TTTAAAAATACGAACCGAGAGGAAGTAGGTCTCTTTTCGCGAAGCTGGGACAGCAGGAGGAAGGGTGAGATTTTAGCTCTGAGCTCTGACCTCTCGGCTTTCTCCTTTACATTGTTTCTGTGTTTCTTATTTAATAAGACGGTTGGTTACATCTACATTTCCTCCTCTGAGAATCATTTGTATGAACCTGAAAATCTTTGTTCTTTCAACCTTGTAAGTGAAAAAGCAAATGACCCTGGAGATAAGTAAACCTTTAAACATCAAAACATTGGCTGGTTACAGAGAGAAGTCAAGGCTCCGCACGAGTGGAGAGGCAGCTGGGCACCTGTACAAAGAAAACGAAGACTGCTGGAGAGGTGAGAAGGAGGTGAGCATTGATGACGGGTCCGGGGGCCCAGTGTCTCTGGTCAGAAGCCTCCTGCTTACAAGTCCGCTCACAGTCGCCTGTATTGTCACGGAAAGCAGGTTATTATGTGACTGAGGAAGGCCTGTGACACCCTTTGGTTTGGCTTGGGTGGGTTCTTCACGAAGACATGCATGACAAAGGAAGGAAGCCTCGACAGGGAACCAGATGCCACCGAGGCACACAGGGCACACAGAGGTCCAGGCACAATTAGGTGTGAATGCTGAGCTAGCACTTTGCGAGGCCCCGGTTCTCAGGAGCATTATGGGGTGTTCTCTGTACTTCCAGGCATGGCCGCCTCCTCTAACATCTCTTTGGTTGTATATTTTGCTGCCTGCTTGACATTTCTATTTAGAAAACTAAAATATTAGAGAACTCAAACGACATTTTCAGCGCTGCATCAGCCTTCTTCACTCTTGCCCCAAATCTTTGCCTCTATTAAACTTCCAAGGTCCAGAAACCGGTGACAGCCTTGACTAAGTATTTGGGGGAATTCAGTCACTTGCTTTTGCCTCACGCAGTTACCCCTGAAAGACATTTACCTCCTCCCATCTTCTCCAGACTCTTAGCCCAAGTATGATCATTTCTCATTAAAAATACTTTTATTTATTCCTTGAAAACTTACATACAAAGTGTCTTGATTATACACTCTCATTCTTCCCCTCCAATTCCCTGTAGTTTCTACAACCCATCTTCCTCCAAACATCCTTTCTTTCTTTTCTTTAAAAAAATACAGTCCTCAGGAGGCAGAGGCAGGCCGATCTCTGTGAGTTTAAGGCCAGCCTGGCCTACAAAGCGAGTTCCAGGAAAGGCGCAAAGCTACACAGAGAAACCCTGTCTCGAAAAACCAAAACCAAACCAAACCAAACCAAAACAAAATACAGCCCACTATGTCCCTTTAGTGCTGCTTGTACATACACAGGCACGGGACCAAACTGGCCACCCCCTCAAGGAAACGACACAGTCACTCTAACTGGGCTTTAGGCACCTTTTTTGCCAGCCTATGCCAACGGTCCAAATCTTAGCTTCAGACTCCTTTAGTGTCTTCTCACTGCGCTTAGGTCTGGGTCCTGAGGAGCCCTCTGACCTCTGACCTCTGACCTCACCTACTCCTCACTTCCCTCGAGACTTTCAATGGCACCAGCTTCTCCCACCTTAGGACGTTCCTTCTATCTGGAACCTTTTCCCTTCCGCTCCGTTCTCCTTGGGGCAAAGCTGGCCTCAGCTCAGAGGCCGCCTTAGGAGGGCTGCCCTCTGACACCAGCCTGCAGTGTCCCACCTGTCACTCTGTGCTATGCCACCCTCTTTCCTTTCTCAGCCTGGACTAATCGTGTTTATTTCCGGGTTTATCCTCTTCCTCTTACTAGGGCTTAAACTCCCAGGAGGAGAAGCTTCGTCCCTGTGCCAGCTGAACACCTCGAGGGCCGTCACTGTCTGCTGCAAAAGTTGAGGCTCCAGAAGCATGTGCTAACTTAGGCGAATCCCTTCCAGACATTTCGGGAGCTTACAGGTGGAGACAGCAGGCAGGGGCCACATTGTCTGGACAGATTTCTGCTTCTGTGAAAGAGGAAAGAGAATGTTATTGGGTAAATTAACAATAACAGCGCTGGAGTCTTCAGGCTGCAGAGCAGGTGTTTTGAAGGGGAAAACAATGCGGTCTTATCTTTATTTCTGGCTTTGTGAAGAACCAGGAAGACGAAATCAGTAATTTCAAGATGAGTCACTGGAAACAAGTGGTTTCACAGAACACCTTCAAGTTTTAAACAGGTGAAGACAAAGAGGAGGAAAACACAGCAAGCCGCAGGCCTGGTAAAGCCTTGTGGCCCAGAGTGGTTCTAAGCCAGTGGTTCTCAACCTATGGGTTGCGACCCCTTTGGGATCTAATGACCTTTCACAGAGGTTGACTAAGACCATCAGAAACAAAGATATTTACATTTTGATTTATAACAGTAGCAAAACTATTGCCATGAAGTAGCAATAAAAGTAATGTAATGGTTGGGGGTCACCACAACACAAGGGACTGTATTAAAGGGTTGCAGTGTTAGCAAGGTTGAGAACCACTGCTCTAAACCATAGCCCAGGGTACCCAAGGATACTGATGGATGGCTGTCCTCCTGATAGGTGATTTTTAAATTTTTATTTAATGCTGTAAATATTTTTAATGAGAAAAGATATAAATTTTTTTCCTAATTAAAAGAGGCACCTGAGCAGGGTGGTGGTGGTGCATGCCTTTAATCCCAATACTCAGGAGGCAGAGGCAGGCAGATCTCTGTGAGTTAGAGGCCAGCCCGGTCTGCAAAGTGAGTTCCAGGGCACCCTGGACTATTACACAAAGAAATCCTGTCTCAAAATAAACAAAACAAAACAAAACAAACAAAAAAAAGAGGCACCTGAAAAAACCTCATGAGCTAGAGAGAGGGATATACCTGGGCTGTGTCCAAGTTCTGTAGCTAAAACAGTTCCATAACATTGATGAGTAACTGAGCCGAGCTGCTGTTCTGTGAGACGAGCCTATTGAGAACTCCAAGAAGCCCTGTCATGAAGGAGGTAAGACAGAGTCAAAATGTCATTATGTACAATAGGAACTTCCAAGATGATGGGCGCTATGAATGCCACTGGTGGAACACACCCCTGGAGGACACCACATGCGCATCATTTCCTAAGCTTGCTGCCAGCATCATAGACCGAGTCGGTGATGTCTTGACATGGTTGCAGTGCATGCGCATGTGTGAAATTGGAGGTCAAGTGTGTGTCAGAACCATGACAGCATCAACACCGCTTTCCTGAAAACACCATGACCTCAGACTGCTCAGACTGCTCCTTTTTTTCCCATATTTTTTAATTGAATCTTTGTGAATTTCATGCCATGCACCTCAGTCCTACTCATTTCCCAGTCCTTCCATACCCGCCCTCCACTATTGTGACCTTCCCACAAAAGAAAATAGAGAAAGAAAGTCTCACAGTGGAAGTTGTGGTATGGCACACAGTAGACTCTTTTGTCCAATCAGCTTTCCTTGCAAATGTTCATTGCAATGAGTCATTGGTCTGGTTAAAGGTCTCTGGCTTCTGCTACATATCATCCATGGGAGTCAAGTCAAGACCCAGGATGAAGCACAGTTGGTAGAGTGTCTGCTGAGCAATCATGAGGCCCTGGGTTCAATCCCAGTCCCAGCATGTGAGAGACAGACAGGAGGATCAGACATTCAAGGTTATCCTCAGCTATAGAGCAAGTTCAAGGCCAGAATGAACCACATAACAGCTTGTCTCAATAAGTAAACAAACAAACAAACAAATACTAGTCACCTCGAACTTGGTGTTCTTTGTGACTTCTAAGACATTGAAATGCCACACTGCAAAGGACGGTCATATGACAGTGGTTCCCCCCCCCCCCCCCCGAGCGTTGTTTCTGGCCTTCCAAAAAGCCTTTTCAGTGGAGGAACCTGACTGGTAGGTTTTCTAAGTTTCTGTCATGAGAAACTGGACCTGAGAAACATTGCAATGAGAAGCTGACTCCCACCCACAAGGGTGCCCTCTATGCTCTGAGAGGTCCAGGGCAAGGAAAGAACGATTTTCTTCAGATAATGCTGCTTCAGCAATCAGGCTACAGTTTTCTTTAGCACCGTGAACGAGAGCTTTGCTCAGGAGGAAGTGCATTTATGCCACACTGCTGTCAGAGATGCTCCATTTCCTACAAACTCGAGGAAGGAGACCTGTAGTGTTGTTCACAGCTGGAGAAGCTTCTGGAAGGAAGGGTGAGACAGCAGTCCTACCTTGAAATTCTGTTCCTTTTCATGTTAGCAGTTCCCTGGGAACACTTTAAGCAGTGGTACTTTTGACTCCTAGAGCAATCGTGTTTGTCTGTGTACCTAGGGAGAAAACACAGATCATCTCACTATGTGCTTTTGCTTCCAACAGGGAGACTATCTCCCAAACTTTCTTCCCTCACTCGGAGCTTTAATGTTTTTAATTAGCATATATTAATTATACATGACAGTGGGGTTTGTCATGACATTTTACACATGCATAATGTATTTTGGTCTTACTCACCCCCATTCTCCTTCTGTCCTCCCTCCAAGTCCCAACTGACACAGACATAATTTTTCTTATGGGATATGACCTTATCATGCCTTCCCTAAGCGCATTTTTCTTTCTTGTATTATACCTTGGTTTGAAACACCAAAATCAGCCCTCTATGGAATATAATAATGAACCTGATTTTATCACTTCAATTATTCATAAGTTTTTTTTCTATTGAGCATTGGGCAAGAAATAGGAAAATAATTATGCTCAGGGTAAAGACATAGAGAAGGGCATTTGGCTTATTCCATTTATGAAGGAAGCACCCCCAATGTCTATCTTCAGACTTCCATTGTCGCTGCCCCAGTCTCTGCAGGATTATCACAGTGGGCGGAGAGACAGGGTTGTCTGAAAATACATGGATTTCAATACTCTTCTGACATCTCAGTGTGGACTTGAGCTCTTGAATTCTCTACGGCCTTTAAAGCCACATTTACTTTTACTAATAGTGGTAGTGATGGGAATAAATAATGTGCTTGAGTCAGCTATTGGAAAGGATGAGGCAGGAGGATTGCAAGTTCAAGGCCTGTTGTGGCTGCAGAGTGAGTTCCAAGCTAGCCTGAGGAGGGGGGAAGCTCTGGGAGTTCCCTGGTGTGCCCAAGGCTGTGGTTCTGATCCCCAAGTACTACTAGGGCTCAGCTGTATAAGTGACTTTACTCCTAGTGCAGTGAAGAAACATACGAATCCCAAGACTGTCACCGTGTAGCAGGTGGCAGGCCTTTGTGAATGTCAGTGACTATTGGCTCCTCCTCCTTCTGACGGCATGTTCTGTCTGCCAGGCCCTTGGGTCCCTTACCTATGGCTGTGCTTCACTGTCTTCCCAGAATGCATCGCACACAGTGCTGGAGCCTCTGCTGAGCCCTTTGCTGGTGACATTCTGGTTCCATTGCCTCTACTGAGAGCCACATGATCACTTTTCCACACATGCCCCCTTTCTGTCTTTCTAGACTTTTCCATTTCTTGCTGTTGTGTTCCTGAGGTAAGGCTATATAAGGGACTGCCTGCCATGCAACAGGAGTTTACAATTTTATATATTATTACCAGGTGGTGGTGGTGCATGCCTTTGATCTCAGCACTCGGGAGGCACACAGATCTCTGAGTTCAAGGCCAGCCTGGTCTACAGAGCAAGTTCCAGGACAGCCAGGGCTACACAAAAAAACCTCATCTCAAAAAAATAAACAAAAATGATACATTATTCTTATTATCTGTATGTTCATGGTGTGTATGTGCTCATGCATTTATATAGCATACATGTGGAACTCAAAGGATGACTTTGTGTCGTGAGGTCTCTTCTTCACCTTTATGTGGACTCTAAGGGCCAGGTTTGGCTTTTCAGGCTTTCATGTCAAGCGTTCTACCCTCTGAGCCATCTCCAGTCTTAACAGGGGTGGTTTGGTTTTTCTGTGTTTTTGTTTTCAGCCATGGGGTGAGTTTGGGACTCAGTGTTGGTGGCTCTTTCACCTGGTGCCGGATTTCTCAGAAACAGCTTCTCTACTGCTGACGGGATTTCACTCTATTTTGTTTAAGTTTCTCAGCCAGTTTTGAATCTGGGTTTGTTCCAGATTCCTAACAGCCCCAGCAGGCTCCTGTAAGGACAGACAAGGTTTTCCTGCACATCAGTTATAACTGTAATGGTACTTAATATTCAACATGCGTGGTGTACCAGAATGCACAGCCCCGAATTAGTGGCTTGTTTTCCAGGAAGGCTCGGTGTGTCCTTGGAGAGAATATGCATTTGGGGTGTTAATGTTTCAAGAAAGATGCAGCTCTAGCCATTACAGATTTTGGAGGATCTTTAAAATCTGTTGAAATAATTTAGGGTTTGAAATAAAATGCAAAGAAGTAACATCTATCTGAAACACTTTAAGCATGGTAGGAGGAAGCAGGGTGGATGTGGAAAGATGTCATTAGTTGCAAATTGTTCCAATGCAGCACTAGAAGCCCAACCAAACCTGACATTATGGAAAGAATCCACTGGTTCATGCTACCTGAGGAACTGGAAGTGTGGTGGCTGGCCTCTGGGTCAGCCGGATGCCAAGGTTCTCTCTCTCTCTCCTTCCACTTGGCTCCTCTTTGTGTGAGGTGCTCTGCTCGCCACACAGTGTGACTTACTTATTGTTCCAGGCCTTTGGCTCCACGGCAGTGTCTCCACCTCAGTGGCCACTGACCCTTTCCCAGCATTAGTCCATGTAAATCTCATGGGAGATTCCAACTGGTTCAGTTGAGGTCATTAGCATATCACAGTGATGTGCCATGCTAAGTTGCCCTGGCCCTGGTCACTTGCCCAGCCCTGTGGTAGATTGTGTGTGTGTGTGTGTGTGTGTAGGGGGGGGGGAGGTGGATGTTGCCCTGCAATTTTCAGTGTCCCTACAAGTTATTTATTGTGTGTGTGTGGGGGTGGGGTGGGGGATTGGAGACAATTACATGGAAATAAAAAGAGGAATTTAGCCAGACAAAAATAACAGATATACTCTATGACAATGAAGAGGGGACCCATGTTTTCTTTAGTTTGGAGAAGAAAATGGATGAAAAGTAGAATAAATGTCTGAGAAAGCCCAGAGGAAACAGGACAAATGCCTAGCAATAATGATAGTATGATAATGGACACTTGCAGATTCTCTGGAGTGTTTGAAGATTCTAGGCTTTATAGAATATAGCTCAGAGGGGAGTGTACTGTCAAAAGGATGAGGCAGCACACTGTGGAAGTGGTTCAAAGACAGAGAAAGGTGTATTGTTAGGAAATGAAATTCAAGTATGTGATTTAAATTTCATGTGCTTATAAACTGAGACTGGCCATGGGTGGCTGAATGAGTCAACCTCCAAAGATTTGCTGTGGTACAAGCGTGTCCCATGAGAAGAGACACTCTGGAAAGTGTGACCAAGAGCTCGGCTAGAAATCACTCTCCGTAGTCTGATGGAGCCAGCTCCAGGCAGCTGAGCGTCATAGGAAATTTCCAGAGAGGACACAGGTGGCTTCATCTGAGCTGAGGCTTATGTCAACATCAGGAATCGCATAGGCAACACAATACAGGGAAGTGGGGCTGGCATTCAGCTCTGCAAGGTCCAAGGTTTATGGATTATTCTTTCCGTGGGAAATAAACAGTTGGGGATCAAATGCAGTGAAAGGAAAATTACTCAGTGAGAACAAACCATGACTTCCTTCTGGCTCTGGATTAAGAAATCCTCTAGTCACACTCTCTGCAGAAGATAAAGCGGCGAGGAATGTCCCCTCCACCTGACTGCCTGGCCAGCGTCTTCACCCACCTCTGTGGTAGAAGTTGATGCCCCTGTGCATTAAAGTGGAAGAGGATGCTGTGGATCCTACCCTTGCTCAGACGTGACAGTCTGACTTCCTGAGTCTTGGTTTCCTCACTTGAAATAGAGAAACCTGGGCTGAGAACCTAGGCTTTTTGTTTTTAGTCTAGTGACTTCTAAGTGACAGTGTTTTCCCCTTAACAGAATAGTTACAGAACTGAATGGGGAATACACAAGGGGCCTGAAGATTGTGATCAGGACCTTGGGATTCAGGATGACCAGGACAGTGTCCAGCCACTAGATGACATACTAGACAGACTAGTGGATCCAGCAATGTCCATCTCCTGGTCCTCTGAGCCTCTGCCTATCATATCTGCCACATCAAGGGGGACTTTGTGATGGTCAAGTTAGGACCTTGGTGTGGAGACACAATCCTGGTTAGTTCCAGCCATTCAAAAAGAGTGGGTCGATGGGACTGAGGCCCGAGGCAAGGCACCTTCTCCAAAGAAAGGAAGTCAGTTCTTGGGAGTGCTCAACCAAAGCCACCAATTTTTTGTTGTTCTTTAAAAATACTGAATTACAGCCAGAGCTGATACACAGAGAAATAAACCCTGTCTCAAAAAACAAACACACAAAAAACTCAGTAAGTTCTACAAGTTCTTTTTTTATTTTTATGCATATTTGTTCTTTTTATTTTATTTTATTTTATTTTACAGTACCATTCAGTTCTATATAACAGCCACAGATTCCCTTGTTCTCCCCCTTCCTGCCCCCTTCCCTTCCCCCCAGCCCACCCCCATTCCCACCTCCTCCAGAGCAAAGCCTCCCCCGAGGACTGAGATTGACCTGGTAGACTCAGTCCAGGCAGGTCCAGTCTCCTCCTCCCAGATTGAGCCAAGTGACCCTGCATAAGTCCCAGGTTTCAAACAGCCAACTCATGCAATGAGCCCAGGACCCAGTCCCACTGCCTGGATGCCTCCCAAACAGATCAAGCCAATCAACTGTCTTACCTATTCAGAGGGCCTGATCCAGTTGGGGGCCCCTCAGCCTTTGGTTCATAGTTTCCATTCATTTGGCTATTTGTCCCTGTGCTTTATCCAACCTTGGTTTCAACAATTCTCGCTCATATAAACCCTCCTCTTTCTCACTAATTAGACTCCCCGCACTCCACCCGGGGCCTAGCTGTAGATGTCTGCAAACAGATTCCTCAGTCCTTGGATGGGGTTTCTGGCACAACTATTAGGGTGTTTGCCCATCCCATCACCAGAGTAGGTCAGTCCCGGCTGTCTCTTGACTATTGCCAGCAGTCTTTTGTGGGGGTATCTTTGTGGATTTCTGTGGGCCTCTTTAGTACTTTTCTCATGTGGTCTTCATTTACCATGGTCTCCTATTCCTTGTTCTCCCTCTCTGTTCTTGATCCAGCTGGGATCTTCCGCTCTCTTTCCCTCGACCATCGCCCTTCATTGCTCCCACTCATGTCCAGGTTGTTCATGTAGATCTCAACCATTTCTCCGTCATTGGGCGATCCTTGTGTCTTTCTTGGGGTCCTGTTTTCCAGGTAGCCTCACTGGTGATGTGAGTAGCAGTCCAGTCATCCTTGTTCCACATCTAGAATCCTCCTATGAGTGAGTACATACCATATTTGTCTTTCTGAGTCTGGGTTACCTCACTCAGGATGATTTTTTTCTAAATCCATCCATTTGCCTGCAAACCTCATGATGTCATTGTTTTTCTCTGCTGAGTAGTATTCCATTGTGCATATGTGCCACATTTTATTTATCCATTCTTCAGTTGAAGGACATCTAGGTTGTTTCCAGGTTCTGGCTATTACAAACAATGCTGCTATGAACATAGCTGGGCAAGTGCTCTACAAGTTCTACAAGTTCTTGATCGACGTTCTAGGATGGCATCACCGGTGCCGTCTAGACTACTTTGGGGGGGGGCGGGCTTCAGAGGGTGTAGCTAGTGGCATTTGAATGAACACCTGAAATTGGGAAAGTGGTGAAGAAGTGGACACAAGGAAGGGACTGAAGTGAGCCATCATTTGGGCATAGCCTAAAAGAAGGATTTTTCTCTAAGTGGTAAAAGCTTTCAAATTCTTCCTGCTAGCTTTTTGAAATGTCCCATGTACATTAGTGTACATTGAAAAAACGGTCTTCTTACTGCTTAGGGTAGGACACACTGTATTTATTTTGATTTCTCAGCCTCCTAGGAGCAGTTCATATCTTCACCATGGACATCAGAAGCGTTTCGGTTTGTGGAACCCACCTGCTTGTCTCTGATGCATCTGTGTTTAGCTGCTGCTGCTTTTAGAGTTTGGTCCCAAGAAGTCATGGCCTAAAACAAGGTTCTGGAATTTTTCCCTGGAGGGTTTGGTAGTGTCAGCTTTTCTGTTTCAGTCTTTAATCCATCTCCAGTTGAGCTGTGTATCTGGTGCCAGAGGAAGGTCTAATTTCGTTTTTTCTGCACAGGGATAGACAGTTTCTCAACACAACTTAGAGGAAAAAATTCTTGAACTTTGTCTTCCTGCTAATGAATCCTTGCTCTCCCCAAACTCATGTTTATCTCTGACTTCCTACATACTCCTCCATTGTCCCAAGAAGCTCTCCTGCCCCCAATTCCCTGGAACTTGAGCTAAATGCCTTCTCCATCCTGTTAGATTGCTATCTCTCTCACTGACCATTTTGATTCCTTCCTGGATCTGATCACAGTGTATAATGATGTACTTGTCCGCTGTCTTTGCCTCCCACTGGACAGGAACTTTTCTGAGAACAAATTCTTTCTGACAGAGAAATGTGACACCTGCTCAAAGCATTCCCAGCCAGGCTTAGTACTAGGG